TGTGCAAAACATTGTCAACTGTTAAAATAAAGCTGATCCAATTTACACATTTCTGCAAGATGTACAGACATGACATTCAGAGTCCTTTGTTAAACTTCAGCAACACTTTAGCCTCAAAGTTCTCATCAGTCACCCTGGCTCTGCGCAGTACTATTAGTAACAGTCTATTATGAAAATGTTTTTTCCGCTTTAGCTAAGCCAGGGGTCGGCAGCACGTCACTCTTTTTATTGCCCTGTTGTGGCTCCACAGCAGAACTAGATTTTTTGTTAAAACAACATAATCCTCCTTTGCTGTAAAATAAAGCTCTGCTGATCGTTATAACGCATAGTTCTAAGACAGTTTTCACAATAAATGCTTAAACGCTGGAGTTAACGCATAACTGCTAATTTACACTTTAATGCTGAAGACTGACGCACAGACTGTTGGTCACACAGCAACACAGATAACAGTGTCGCCTAGCTTGTATCTAATGAAACAGCAAAGAAATAGATTTTAAATGAGCATCGATAATTCGGAGACGAATGGACTTATTTGCGTTTATAATCACTCCAGCTGGTTTCCTGATACTTTTAATCTGCAACGAGAAATTGTCAAACATTAAATCATGAAGTCAGCTTCTCGTTCGAATCCTCCCGTTCCACCTTAAATGGTGCCGCAGTAACGTACATTCTGGCCCCTCAGGCACCATTTAAGGTGGAACGGGACTATTCGAACAAGAAGCTGTTGAATGAGAAGTGACTTCAGCTTTGCAAAAAGTCGAATGCTGAGAGACATTTTACAAGAAACTTTCATAGAAAAGTTTCCTGACTGAGGCGCGAGAAAAGCTACACAAAAATTCATAGGCGCTACAGCTATTAGCTACATTTCATAAAATGGTGTAAAAATCTATAGTTAGCTACAAAAAGTAGCACGCTACTTAGCTACTCCCCCATTCCTGAATATATTGAAAGAAAAAACATAAAATACAAATAAAATGAGCCATAACGTTTGCATAAACCTCATTTTATGTTTTATGTATTTATTTATTGTTTCCCCAAAATATTATTAATATATGTGCATTCAAATGTGTTGAAGTGTGTTCTGTGTAGTGGGTGTGCTAACTTATTTTCGCTATCAACAAGACATGCAATATGCCCAGAGCACCCAAACTTTGCATGCATAAATTTACTTTTAAAACACCATCCTCCCTTTAATGTATGAACATTTCATGATAAAAGCACCAACAGAAATAGTCCAAAACTATTTCCAAATAACTCCAAACTCCAAAAATTCCCAACTCCAAAAAGTACATCAACTTCCATAATAAGTCAGATTTTTTCCTCTCTTGAAAATGTTCTATACTGGAGATATAAGGTTTTATTCTACGCTCTTATGAAGACCAGCTCATGATGGCAGACAAATGTAGGTGAATCTCTCTCTCTCTCTCTCTCTCTCTCTCTCTCTCTCTCTCTTCTTCCCTACCCCCTACTCTGCCACATGCCTTTGTTTTGTCCACATCTGTTCCACACTCTCCGTTCCTCTACAAATCTTCCTTACTCTTCTCTCTCTAACCTCTCTATTCTCTTTTGTTTAGCTTTTCTTTCTCACTCTCTTTCTTTCTGCCTCTCTCTCTCTCTCTCTCTCTCTTTCTTTTTTCTTTCTCTTTATATTTTACAGCAGTGTCGGCTTCTGCAGGGCCAGTAGACAAATTCACATGAGGCTAGACAGGATATGACCTCACTGACATGAAGGGGTTTCACTAAACTCATCACACACAGAGGAAATGCTGAAAGTGTATGTGTGTGTTGGTGGTTATTTTGATTCTGGTTTGAATGCTTGTTTTGTGGCGTGACGTCCCACACTTTGCCGGACCACCGCAGTGTGATAACACAATGTGCTTACCATTTAGACAAAGCCAACAAACACACTGGCGTTCACGCAAAGCCATAAACACGTCAGTACAGTTTCAGTGCTGATCATTCACTCAGATAGAGCAGTTCCTCTTACTGCTGTGCAAAACAGAAAGATCCTCACTGTTTCTCTGCTCTTTCCAAAAGGCACAATCTGGAAAAAATATGGAACATCTGGTGTTTCTCTTCTTTCAGGTGTCTCAATATGAGAAATTTGCTTGTGTTATCTGTTACTACTGGTTGGAATTTTGCAGCTTTTCTGAGGATAATCTCTATCTGGGACATAGCTGCGCTTCCAGATTAAGTCCCTCTGCAAACTGTGAGATGATCACACACACACACACACACACACACACACACACACACACACATTTGTAAAATAAAGAGAGAGAGATATTTAAGCCATTCTTAAGAGACATTTTTTTGTTGCAGATCAGTGTGCAGCACTATGTTGTGTCGAGTATATAATTATCTGATATAATTATGTTAATTGCTAGAAAAAACAATATAGACCAGCAAAGCCTGTCACCAGCAACTCAAGCATGTTATGTTTTGGATGCTGGTATGCTGGTCAACAGAAATGTTATGATGGTTACCACCATAACCAGTTTGTTTTGATTATTGATTATAATAATAAGTTGATTATAATCCAAAATGGCCATGGTACGTGACCAGCTAAACCAGCACCAGAACAGCATAAACCATCTTAGATCAGCATCGAACTCTAAGCTGCAGGTCTAAGCCGTTTTTTCAGCAGGGTTAGTATTATTAATGTTTATGGTTAGCGAGTGAGACAACTTGCTAACTGCAGATGTTAGCACCTTGGCTAAATGCAGCTAAGTCACTTCACTGCCACCAACCACTCCAGTTATCTACATTTTTTGCTACAAGTATGTAGCATCATGCTCTTGCGAGTATGTCATGACATGATATAACTGTATTCACTTTTTGTGTTGTTACTCTTTAAAGTTAGCTAGTTAGCTAGCCTCCCAACTGCACCAAAATGGATTTTTCATTGCCAATCTTCTGAACCAGCCTCAGCCTTGCCCATTTTGCAAGGGAATGCACACTGCTAATGTGTCATGTAACTGTGGCTTTAAGTTTTGCCTGGAAAAACGCAAATTAAAATGCAAAGAAAGGGCATTTAGAGCTGTTTGTAGCTGAGGAAAAAGGGGAAACATGCAATGTCCATTCTCTGAAGTGATCTTGAGGTTAGTAGGCCAGTTTTTCATTCCTTAACATCCAAACTAGCTCTGTCATTTCAGGACTGGTCACTCCATATGTGAACAGAGGGGACCAGGCTTGCATATGTAAGCTAATGGGCACAATAAAGCTTTTATTTTATCATCTTTTTCTCTTTTTTGTCTGTGACAGCAATGTCATGGTAAAAACTGTGCAGTGTAAACCTGCCTTTAAAAAAGAGCAACAGAAGTCAAGGTGCTGAAGCAACTGTTTCTAGCTTCTATTATGAATGTTCTAAGTGGGATGCACTACAGATGCTGAAGACAGAGATCAAGCTAGTAACAAAAGAAAAGTTTGCACAAAGTGATTCTGCACTTTCTCCTTTCTCTCCTGTTCTTTTGCCCGTGTAGTCACGTTTATAAACGTCAGGCTCATGTAATTAATATGTCCACCCACACACTCACCCAGGAGGACCTCTTCCCACGGCCTGGCGCGCAGCCTTAGAGAGGAATTTCAGCTGAGAAACATCTTTCTGGACTTTCTGGCCCTGTTTCTCTCTCACTGTCGTGGTGTTTCCCTGGATCTATTCACTCTTCTCAAACAAGCATTCAGGAAAGAGTCCTCGAGGGACCCTCGTGGGAAGCGAAGGCTGCTTTCCCCATATTCACACTGTGTGTGTGTGTCATTAGAAGACTGCTGTCCACATCTGGCCGGCAGTGGGGGGAGAAAGGGGGAGGAGGGGTGATCTATGCCTAAACTCAGAAATATAGTGTGCGTGTGTGTATAAAAATGTGAGAGTGCATTTAGTGCTTTGTTCTCCATGCTGATGGTAAAACATGCGCATTGTGCTGTTGGCTGGTCCCCATGATGACAAATGCTTGTTTACTAAAATGCAGTATTTGGTTACTGAGGTACAGCACTTTCATTTATTTAATTTCTAGTTCAAAGTGGCTATTCAGTACAAGTTGTTCATTTTTCAGGCAATATTTCTGAGGAGAAGGCAACACGACGCAATGGATCTGAACGGATGTGCAAATGTCTAGAAGCTGTTACTGAGAGAAGGAAATTGATAACAAAGAAGAACATCTTTGAATCAAAAAAAGAAGCTGCTGACGAGTCCAGACCTCAACATCATTGAATGTGTTTGAGATTACTGAGGATTGTAAGAAGCAGAAAATGCTACCAACTTCTAAGACTGAACTTTGGAGGTGTGGAAAAATTTCCCTCCAGATTTCTTTGAAAAACTGAAAGTCTGAAAGCTCTAATAAAAGCAAAGGGTGAACACTCTGAATACTGAAAATATCAAAATTTTATTTAGTTGTTTAGGTTTCTGAGTACTTTTGTGTTAATATAAGCTTTCTGCTTTTGTCCTGACTCTGAAAAATGAAACTGACCAAAAATAAATGATATGAGGCCCATGTCTTTATCACAGCATGTTACAGGTTCAGGTGCAGGCAAAAGATCTTTATTTAACAACAGCAACACAGAACTCAAAAGTATTGCATTGAAGGTGCTTAACTCAAATGTGTACTTGACACAATTTGTTTTTCAATATACTTTTAGAAATACGTTTTGGAAATTATGTATACATTTGAAATAAATTCAGTACACTATATTCTTTATTCCTGTATGTTCGTGCAAGTGTGTAAATCTGTGCCTGTGTGTGTGTGTGTGTGTGTGTAATCTGCACCAGATGACCACTAGTGGAGTGAGAGAGGCCGTAGTAGGCGGACGTTTCCTTTCTCTCTCTCTCTCTCCCTCTCTCTCTCTCTCTCTCTCTCTCTCTCCCTCTTTCTTTCTGTTTTCAGTCTCACTGCAGCTGGATCTGCAGGGCTGCTCCCGCTGCTCGCGCTCATCGTCCGTTCCTGAAAACCTGCTCTGGACAACCGGGACCGCATTAGAGGAATGTCCACTGCACTTTCCCGGGAATGGCCGCGCGCGCGCTCCTCTTCGTCATCCTCGCCGTTTGCCTCGCACTGCTGCCCGCTGCTGTTCGCGCAGCACGCGCTCTCTGCCCGGAGCGCTGCGAGTGCGGACGCGCGCCACAACACGTCCTGTGCGCCAACCGGGGGCTGCGCACGGTGCCGGGCGCGCCGCCGGCGGAGAGCGCGCGGCTCGTGCGCGTCCTCGTCCTAGCGGGCAACTTCATCGACGTCCTGGGCGCGCGCGATCTAGCGCGCTACGGCCACCTGGCACGCCTGGACCTGCAGTTCAACCGCATAGGGCGCGTGCACGCCCGCGCGTTCGCGAGGCTCTCCGAGCTGCAGGAGCTCTACCTTGGCCACAACCTCCTCTCCGCCGTGCCTCCGCGCGCACTGCAGCCGTTAACGAAGCTTGCCGTGCTCTACGTGAACGACAACGTCATCGAGGAGCTCGAGCGCGAAGCCTTTGGAGACTTATCGAGCGTGGTTCGACTGCGGCTGGACGGGAACGCGCTCGAGACGCTGCGCGAGTCCGTTTTCGAGCCTCTGTCCGGTCTGGTGGCGCTGCAGCTCGAATCCAACCGTCTGCGCCACGTGCACCCCACCGCCTTCGCCAACCTCACGCGCCTGCAGTTCCTGAACCTTTCCGACAACCGGCAGACGGAGCTGCGCGACGCGCGCACTTTCGCGCACCTGGAATCGCTCACAACGCTGCTGCTCGCGCGCAACCGCATCGCGCACGTTGGCGCGCGCATTTTCCAGGACCTGCGGAGGCTCTCGACACTCTCGCTGAGTGGGAACAGGATCACGCGGCTCGAGCCCGAGGCTCTGGCGGGCCTCTCGCGCCTGCGGGAGCTCGCGCTGGACGGCAACGCGCTGACCGAGGTGCCCGCGGGCCTCTTAGACCCGCTCGCGCGCCTCGAAAGCCTTGACCTGAGTGCCAACCAGATCGCGCGCGTGCACGAGGCTGCCTTCACGCACCTCGCGCGCCTACGCGTGCTCACGCTGCGCGACAACAGGCTCGCGAGGCTGGCGGGCGGCGCGCTCGCGGCCAACTTGGCGCTGCGCGCGCTCGACCTGCGGGGTAACGAGTGGACGTGCGGCTGCCGCGCCGAAGCACTGAGGAGTCGCGCGGGGGGAGTCGGAGAGCTGGCGGTGCGGTGCCGCGAGAGGGAGGAGGAGGAAGAAGAAGAGGAGGAGGAAGGTAAAGAGAGGGAGGAGCGCGCGGAGAGAATGGAGCAGAGGGACTCGTGTGTAGATGAGGACCAGGAGGAGAGGATAAGAGGAGGTGAGGAGGTGGAGGATGAAGGAGGTGCAGAGGAGCGCGCGGAGCCTCCTACAGAGCGGAGAAAAAAGAACATGAGTACGAATTTAGGAGCTGGCAAAAAGCGCGGGAAACCAAGAGCTCTTACCGGAGCCTTGACGACAAAAATAGTTCCCATGACAACGAAGGACGCCGTTGTCGCTCAGCAACGCGTTGACTCCTTGCAACAGGAAAAGCGCTATGAACACACCGCTGCCTTAAAAGACGCCTGTCACTTTAACCGTCACCACATCGCCAACGTGACCGTGGACCAGGTCACGGACAGTACGGCCACTGTCCGCTGGACCGCAGCAGCGGACCGCGGCGAGCTCGCGCTGCACTTTCGGGTTTTCTTCGACCGCCTCGGCAGCTCCGCGCGCTTCCCGCGCTATGCGTACGACGACGGCTCGAGCAGCTCGCTGACGCTGCGGGAGCTCCGCCCGGATTCCGCCTACCTGGCATGCGTTGAGAGTGTGGTGGGCGGGGTTTCGTGCCACGTGGCCTCGCGCGAGCACTGCGCAGGCTTCGTGACCGCGGCCGGCGTTCGCGAGGCGGAGGCGTGGCACGTGGCGGCGGCTGCTCTGGCGCTGAGCGTGCTGCTCGCGTTGTTGCTGGGAGGGGCGGGGCTGGCGCGCGCGCTCACGAGGAGGAGGAGGAGGAGCAGCAGGATCAAAGGCGGGAGAGCGTACTCGTACTCCGCGCGCACGCCTTTTCGCGCTGCCGTGGCAACCGCCTGCGCGTCGTCCGAGTTCAGCGCGTACAGGAGCGGGCGCGCGCTGGCCGAGGACGGAGATCTGATCCAGTTTACAGGAGAGAGACTATATAACAGCGCGCCCGGCTGTAGAGAGGATGACGTCACGATGCAGCGGTTCATCGACTAGGTTCTACGACTGCATGTTTATGTGTGTGTGTGTGTGTGTGTGTGTGTGTGAATACGTTTATGTGTTGTGTGAGGGTTGGGATGGGAGGGTGACCGTGTAATTGTGTATATGTTTGTGCCGATATAAATAAGCAAATATCACGATGACGGTTTGCTATATTTTCAAGAATAATTAATTAACAAAAAGCCACTACTTGTATAAGATAATTCTTAGTTTTCTGAGTGACATTTTTAAATAGCAATACTGTATTGGTGGTTACACATTTTGGATTACTCTTTTAAAAAACTGTCCTGATAGTTTTCATTTATATATATATATATTTTTTTTTTTAGAGTTTTGGTCCCCTAGATACTAGTGTAACAATGCATTGTGATATTGTGATATAACAATACAAAGGTCAATGGACATTATGTGAATTATAGCTTTGAGCGCAGTTGCACTGTTTGAACACCAAAGTTTGTGAATGATCAGCGCTAATCAACACCTCACTCCAGCACTCCTCTATACACAGCATTCCTCTCTACAAGTTACAGCTCTAGTGTCATTAATAGGTTCATTACACCTCTGCTAGACAGAACACTGGTGCAAACTCACTTTTTGAAATTATGTGAGGTCATTTTGGTGGTCACGGGATGGTTGTCGAAAAACGTACATACCTGAGTTGCAAAAGGCTGCCAGAAATGAATTATTATATATTATATTATGAGCTGTCAATGACAGTTGAAAGCTCAAACTAAACTCATAATGGATTGTTGTTTTGTTTAGTTATGGTCAACAATAACAGCATTACTCCTCTATGGTGACATGTGAAGGTGCTCAGAGCAAAGAACAAAAACACGTCAAAACTGCTGTACACACAGCTGTATAACAGTATTGTCGCATGTCTAGTTTGTATATCCTTGCTGTCTGTTCATTGATTTCGCCTAAAACCTTTGCATTGTGTTAAAAGAAATTTAAATCGAGAATTACTTAAAAAATCTTGTTACATCAACTTTATTGAAAATAACAATGTTTTTTTCTTCTCTTGTAAAGTTACTTTTTTGAAGATACTGAGTTTTGTTCCGACAGCGACGATATATAGGTTTGTGTGTGTGTGAAAGTGTGTATGTCTAAGAGAGAGAGAGAATATGCGTGTTCGTGTGTGTGTATTAGGTACATAAAGCATGTTGTTACAGTATGGACTGATTGAAACCTAGTGCCTCAGAAAAATAATCAGTCAATATATATCACCCTATACATTCTCATAGAGGACAGGCAGCTGGAGATGGAGAGCTGAATGAAAGCCAGTGTGTGAAGAATAAGGAGCATCAGAATATGTGTGGAGTGTGTTTTTCTCTTTTTATCTGTGTGTGTGTATGTATGAAATTTTCAGGGGTACTGTGAGCATAAAATTCACTTTAAAAGCACATTTTTACAGCTTGTGCAGTTTTCTCAATCAGCTGCTGGTTGGCAGAGTCCTTTTACTTTTTTGTTTGTTTTTTGTACTTCAGACAGTTTTGTGCATATGGTATAATTGATATATAAAACTGATTTAACTCTGTAGTGGAATGTGTATCTCTTGTTGAGTTACAGTAACTCAGTGAGAACAGCCTGCCAATAATCACAAACCTTAAAGCCTTTAAATAAATGGCACTAAAGAAGAGCAGGACTGTGCAAGTCATTTAGTTGACTATACTGTGTGTAAGTGTGTGTGCGAGTGCTAAGTGAGATTATTTCATTGATGACTGTATCTGCTAAATAAGGATTACTTCATCAAATCATCCCACAGACACTTACTATACTAAATCAAATCAGTGTATGTCACTAGGATGTGATATGAACTGTGACCAGAAGGGGGCAGTGCTCTCTTACTGATCAACTGTCATCAACCCGTGAAGAAAAGAAATCTGTATTGATGTTTAACTATGCTATTGCTATATATTCAGATAAAATGCATTATAAAAGATAATGAATGTTAAATATTTTCATTTTAGGCTTAAACCAGTAAGCCTGTGTATGTTCCATCAAGATTCTGATGTTATTTGAGTTCATAACACAATACACCAATAAAAACACAAGTGGATGTAAAGCAAGTTCTTTTTATTTAGAAATAGCAATAAAATTTGTTAGTTGGTACAAAAATAAAGGAATATGGATTTTCTTCTCAAAAACTGTACATGGAAAACACTGTCTTCTCACCTGAACAGTTAGGCCGAGTGATAGTCTCTCACATTTTGTGACGCTGAGCAGTCAAACACTGAACATTTTGTAACAAATTGCGTTGAAGGGAATTAGCAGTTTTCTCAAGGTGTTATTACTTTACCACAAGTGATGTGCACTGTTGATGAATGATAAGATTTCCTACACTGTTAAAAGTGTATCCCTTATACTGGTGCCCTGCTGCGCTGACATGGAAAAGTACTGGATGCCTATTAGTCTATGATATATCACATTTTGCCTGAATAATCTCATATAAAATGCACTATTATGATGGAACCTGATCAGTTCACAGAAGAAAAGCCTCTGACACTGTTTGCTGTCCCATGAGGACAAAGGCGCAGCTAATAGCTAAAGGTGCAGTTGCAATTCAAAGCAATACCAAACAATCCATTCACATATTTACAATATCGTACATTCCCCTGATAGATAATAAAGGATTTTCTTTCTAGTCATGTTCTCATCTAGCGTTTCAGCTGTTCAAACTGAGCTGTTTGGCCAATGCAGATGAAACTAAAGTGGCAGAAAAAAGAAAACAGGCAATAAACATACACATACTCGTATTATCACCAGGAGTGAAAGTCCCTGAGGAAATACCACTGGGCAAAGAATTGTCAAAAACGCTGGAAAGAAGGCAGTCCAAAGCATGACAGCTTTTCCAGTAGGCCTACTCCAGGCTGTCACAGTGTGGAAGGATTTATATCCCGCCATTCATGTCCCTCAGTTAAACACCTGAGATGTGCTGCCTCAGACAGGCTCTTGTCCATCAGTCCCTTATAGATGTTAAAAGGGAAGTCCACCCATTTCTTGGTGGAAATATCAGTCATTAAGATGTAAGTCATTCAGAGAGTTTTGATACAAAGACCCAATACCATTTCACCCCTTGCCCCTACCACTTAGCACTTAGCCCTCTGTTTTGCGCGTTCACGTCTAGGGTTAGGGTGTCCCAATTTTTGTTGAGATAGAGTCATATGCAGGCAAAACAGTGTCTAAAGAAGACTTTTAGATTTACCCAACATTGCTTCCAAGAAAAACATTTATCTCCATTATTTATTTTGATTTTTCTGCATCATTTGTGCAGCAACAGCTGTCTTCTACATTGTATGAAAATTTTATGTTGAACGGATAAATCAAAATGGTCCAAAATTATGATAATATCTATTTATATTGACTTACATTAAAAGTTAAGAATGTTTTGACCTTCTGTAAAATTACTATTTTGGAGATTCTTGTCTTTTTCCGAAGCAATGATATAGGAACCCAGAAGACATATTTGCTGGTCATTTTGAATTCTCTTTCCTATCAGCGCCACTGTAAAGAAATTAACCAGTAAGTTTCTCTACAATTTCCTATCAAAATACTCTGAAGGACTTTGGATCTGAACAACTAAATCATCCAGAATTGAAGACAAATTGGTGGAATTACATTTTAGAGGATACTCCAGTGCTTTTCAGCCTAATCTGGCTGCGTGCAACACACAATAATTTCACTGTACTTCATAAAAGAACACAAAACCATTGGCTCACAACACACAGTCAATGGGCAGTTTCTTCAGCAATCTACCATAATCAAATGTAAGCTGCATATCTAGTAGACATTAGATTACAAAATGCTGGAGTATTCCTTTAAGCTCTCTTTTTTTAATAATACATGACATTCTTAATGGAGATGAAATGTACAGACGGAGTGTAGTCTATATAACAAGAACTCATTTTGACATAAGCAATGACTGTTTGGTTCTATTTAAATACACAATTTCTTTTCTGAGCCCTTTGAAGAAACTTACTGATGGCTTGAAAAAGGGACAGAAAGATTTTGTGTTGTCAAAGATGCATGTTAGAATTGCATTTAGCTGGCAGAATGGGAGTGAGTGGTGAGGTGTGTGTGTGCTGTGGTGGTACTGGTTGTTGAGATGCTGTTGAGTTGGACAGCGTGTGGCTGAATGGGACTTCCTGTTGGACTGCCCCCTGCAGGTGAATGCAGAGAGAGCAAAATCAGTTAAAGTGGTGATTAGATTGTGTCTACTGACACAAACTGTTCAAAAAAAGTTTGGAAGCAATGTTTGCAGTAATATAAAAGCAAATTTTAAAAAAAATTAAACATGAAATATAAAATGTGCCATAACTTATGCACCACCACATTTTGTGTTTTATTTTTCTTCCAGTGTGCCAAGTGATTCCAAACTTTTGAACAGTAGGGTATGTTAGGCCTGGATGATAGTGTGATGTAGTCGGATATTGGTGATCAATGACTAGTAAGCCGATAACGATGCTTCAAATGCAATAATTCCTATGTTGAAAAAGAGACCTGACAGAGAACTAGTGAGGACTAATGTAAATGTGAACTTGCTAAAGAATATTAAATTATATTTGCAAGTAATCTTTCTTTCCCTTTTACTATTAAAACAATAGATTTTTATGGGGCATTAATAAGCCTCATGTAACCATAATATAATATTTCATGGTTTTCCACAGGTATCTATAGCTGAATTCCAGAGTGACAGAAAACAATGTTATTACATAATCTTTTTTTTTTTTAAAGAGTTGGAACCCTTAAGGTCTTCTAGGCCTTCAGAAAAGGCCAAATGACTTCTGTGAAACACAAAAAATACATGACTGTCATTTTTGGTTAATTTTTATTTAATATAATCATTGTGCTTGTTGTATTTAAACTCTCATTTCATTGTTAAATTTTGTTTGGAAACAAAAGGGTTACATTCTTGAAACACTCTACAGCTCTACCATGGGTTAGCCTTCAGGAGCTTAACTAAAGGCCTAATGCAACAGATTAATCACTAACTAATAATTCATTTGGAAGTGAATTGGGGAATCAACCAATTACATTTTGATTTACAATGGGTGAGACCAATTTCTTTTGAAAATAAATCACTCCAGGCCATCTGGAAATCTTGGATAGATCACTTACTGTGAATACAAAGAGTCGAACCAGGATTCAGTTGTTAGAAATGAGAAATAGCAGCGACAGCAGCTCTATGCCAGTGCTCTTTTCTGAAAGAATTGTTATAAAGAACTTCTACAAGGTAACATGGATGTTAATTTGTCTGTTACAAGCTTTAAGTAAAACATGGAATGTGTTTTAGAAGCTTCAATTTTTTGTGTTTCATGTAGAATGGCCAAAAATGTTCATGTGAATTGCTGTTAGCTTAGTGCTAACAAATCATAGCTATAACACACATAATCCAGTACGATCACTGCCAGATATTAGCATTATAGTAGAGGTGATTTAACATCCATAGGCTAGCCATAACAGTCACGGTTCATCACTGATTTTTTGAAGGCGAAATATTATTGAAACTATTTTTAGATGTTGCCCAGGCCTGGTGTATGTGCTTGTGTGTGTATGTGTGCGCATGTGTTACTCACCATGCGTTTCCCGTTGTCTTGCGGTGACGGGGCAGTCTTTATGAGCCAGCAGAATCTGCTTCAGCTGAGTGACCTCTGACCTGAGCAATGTCACTTCATTCTGTAACATGAGAAATGCATTTAGGCTATAAACTTAAATAAAAACTATTTGTGATCTGTGACCGTGTAGGTTTATGTCATTTTGTGAGGATGTGCATGAGATATGTGTTTCTGTACCTGCAGCTGCAGGTTGGTATGTGTGAGCTCCTCAGCCTTCTTTTCCAGTGACATCACCCAGACCTTCCTCTTCTGTCTGCAGCGGGAGGCTGCGGCCCTGTTCCTTTCCAGAAACTTCCGCCTGCGTTCGTCTGGGTCATCGTCTGCCGTCCGCCTGCGTCTCCCTCCGCTCATCTGTGGAGGAGACTGTGAGCAGGGTGCGTTTTTGGGAATCGGAGATATCTGAAAAATGGAAATTTAGAAAAAGGCTTTAGTGATTGTAACATTATAGGACAATGTCAGTGACCTTTTGACATGGCCCTTTTTTGCTGTCTTTTAACGAGCACTAGCCGTTATAACATAATCACGGGCAGCCATAACATTAGCTAAGCTAGCGTTAATGTTAGCCAGATGATAGAAATAAAACAAATCCACAAAGAACCATTTTTGGTTCATTAAAAAAAACTTTGAATGGATTCAGTGGGTGGTTTGTGAATAAAATATATGAAGGTGAATAACCTTTTGATGTTTAATGAAACCTCACGTAAACTAAAAGAGTAAAAATGCACAATCAAGAACCATTTAGAAACCTTTAAGAGTGTGGCAAGGCAGCTAGCAAGCTACAGTCAGTTACAAGATCAAAAGTGGTGCCTAACTGACATTAGCAAGTTAGCTTACATTACCTATTGATAATGTGAAGGGGAAATCCACTCATTTTTCAAAATTTCTACATCATTCAACTATTGAGATGTAAACAGTCAGTCAGAGTAGTGTGCATTGTACCAAAACCTATCAACTGATTTTCTTTACGATGGTAGTGAAAGGAACTAGGGGTCACAATGTTTAGAAATGCAAATATAGCCATATCCAAATGCCCAGGGAACCTGTACATGTCTTATGAGTTTTTAAATGCAATGTTGATTATGGTAAAATTGTAGAAAAAAAAAAGAAAAAGAAAACTGGGTACTGACAACATCCTGCATGTACCTCTCCACCAGGAATGTGCTTTAAAAATGATGTTTTATGTCAAAAATCTTTACCTTAAAACTATCATAAAAACAAAGTCTCAGATATTAGACAGTGTATTCATAACCATTTCATGAAATACCTTTCTCTGAGGGAGGTTTTGGAGGCAATGCATGCTTCTGACGTCTGGTTTCTATCACTACCACTGTGAACAATTCTGACTTGATATGTTTCTCTAGTATGGTGCATTTCATAATAAACCACTTAACAAATTGACCATCTTAACAATTTAATTATGTAGATAGAACGTGTTTTTATAACATTTTCTGGCATTTCTTTGGCTTTGCTCTTCAAAAATCAAACGAAGGACATTCAGAATTGTGTTTCTATAGATGGTCAAACTTAAAAACCTATATTGCTTCCATACGAACTGCTACCTGTGCAGGTATTGGCTGATGTGTCAGGTGAGTGGTGGTCAGATGGGCGGGGCCTGGGTGCAGGTGTGCAGGGGGAGAGTGGTGGGCACAGCTGTGAGGTGACAGCTCTTGACTTTGATGTTGGTGGGCGTGTCTTTGCTGTGATTGGCTGTGGCAGTGTTGCTGGTAAGAAGGGTGAGACGCTGCTGCCAGGTGTGTCAGTGGTAGCCCTGCCCTCCTGTGCTGCTGTGATGACATCATCTCCATCGTGTGATACGCAGGGTTCTGATTCCCATTGGATACTGCGGGGTGTGTCTGGCTTGGCATGACCTTTGACCTCTATGGGATTAAGTAAGGGAACAAAGCTGTATCTGTCAGCAAGTTTTCATCACTTTCATAGATCAGATACCATGAATTCTACACTTACTTCATGTGAATCATGTAGTAATCATGTAGGAATTTCTTGGGTTGTTTTATCTATAAAGGTGACACTCAATTATACATTTCAAGGCTCTGATGACTCTGATGTCACAAAATTTTTGACAATTAAATAAAGAAAAAACTGAAATACTCATCCTTAGTACTAAACCTCAGAGAAAAATGCTTTAATAGAAGGTAGGCTTCATATACCATGCCTGAAGTATGAAACCTGGGTGTAATTTTAGATTCTGAGTTCAGGTTATCCTGCATGTAAACACAGTCACTAAAGTAGCTTTTTATCATTTATGAAATATTGCTAAAGTTTAGAGCAGAGAAACCTGTTCATGCATTTGTTATGAACAGAGTTGATTACTGTAATGCTCTTTTTACTGGGCTTCCAATGATAACAATCTATCTACAACTTGTACAAAATGCAGCAGCATGGATCCTAACTAAACCAAAAAAAAAGATCACATCACTCCCGTTTTAAAAGAACTGCACTGGCTACCTGTATCTTTCAGAAAATTTTGCTACTAGTTTTTAAGGCCCTAAATGGCCTTAAAGCACCTGCTTACATCACAGAGTGTCTGTCTGTTTATGTTCCAGAATGTTATCTTAGATCTGCAGATACTGGCCTTCTGCAAAAACCTGCCGTAAATTACAGAAAACATGGAGAGGCCTCGTTCAGTTATTCTGCTTCTAAACTGTGAAACTTAATTCTACCTTTAATTAGACAGCATTTATACACAGCATTTATACACATATCTCTTTAACTTAGCATTTAATTAAAACTCTACGTCTCTTTGGTATTTATCTTTTTAATGCGATCTGTGTGATTTTCTTACATGATCTTAAATTAATACTCATAGTTTCTTCTGTTACTGTTAAGCTTTATCACCTGCATGTAAAGCACTTTGGGCTGCCACCAGTATGAAAAGTACTCTATAAATAAAGACATTACTAAAGACAAGACTTTGTTGAAATTGGACTATAGTTCCCAAAGATTTTTAAGATTGCATACACGTTAAACATATTTATGCAGAGCAGTTGGCTTGAGGACAAAAGAATAAAGCTCTGTGTTATCAGCATAAGAATTAACTTATTTAACATGGGTTAAAAACTGTTTTACACATCTATTAAAACAAAAGTGGGCCTAGCACTGAGCCCTGCTGTGTTCCATATGTTATCTCTATAAAGTCTGCTTATCTCTATGCCACTTTACACTGGATTCTATCATTCTATCTTTAATCTAATCTTAATCTGTTAATTATGTGCAACCAGTCAATGAGAACCATGTAGCAGCAGTGAATGATTCACTTGTTAAATCCATTTGATGATTTAAAACAAATGAAAAATCAACACGATGTGTTCTCTAGTAAACTAACCATATCATTAAAAGTTAAGGGGGCATGAAATTCCAGCCAGACGATGTATAGTCATGACAGCTAACTGTTTCTGTGACTTCTAGGGTTAATAATCAACAAGAAGAGCTCCAGCATTGTTTGGCTCCTGTTCTGGAGGGCTTCAGCCCACAGTTTAATGATTTTCCTGCTCAGTTTCAGCAGTTAATTATCAGCGCTAACAAGGTGTGAGTGAACCAGGAACTCACCCTACTATGCTTGAGCTACAGTGGCTAACAACAATCTATTATTTGTTCTATGAAGTTGCAAAATATTTATTAGTATTTTTAATATTATTTAAACAAATACTATGCTTAAATATCTTTAGCTATGTTATTCCACACTAACTTCCCTAATACATTCAGGCCACTCTATGTATTTCTATAAAACAAATTAAGCAAAAAGTTTTTAATCAAAAATTTAAATTTTCAAAATTATTCTCTCTAAAAACTTTGTTAAGTTGTGATTTTATTATTTTCTTTTATTTTTTGGTATTTTTATGATAATCATACATACAGTCATGTACAAAGGTTTGGGCACCACTGTTTGAATTATGCATTTTGTTGATTAAATAAGTGGAAATATGTTAACACATCCTCTACAAGGAACATACTTCTGCACATTTTAATGCACTATTGCTGTTTATTTGCTGAATTTAACATATTGTGAAAAATATGGCCTGTTCAAAAGTTATAGCACATTTTATATTTTATTATGTTTTACTTTTTCCAACATGTTAAACCTGCATGGTTGCATGTATTCAATTTAAGGTTTTGCCTGATATGGCCTGCTAGGCTCTAGCTGTAGCTCTCTTGGTGTTGAATAAGCCACTTATGCTCTACATGCATTAATCTATGTCTTTACTGGTGGTTGTTCAAAAGCTCATAAATGGGAAAGAAAAAATTGGTGCATACTTTTTGGTGTCTGTGGTGGAGATGTGCCAGCACACAGAGACAAAAACCACACACACACAACCACAAAGACATCTGTGACAAAGTCAGTGAGATCACAACCAGGTCAAGATACGGCCTTTGATATTTAATCTGCTTCCTTCTTTGCTCCGAGGAACAGCATGCAAGAGAATGTGTGTGTGCTTTAGCGTCACTCATAACCAGAAAAGAACACAAAGGTGCGAGATGCAGAACATAGTGTAAGAGAAAAAGAGAGTGAGCGTTGGATGTTGCAGTCAAGCTCTATTTATTAGTTGCAGAGCACCGTCACACTCTCTGTCTGACTCTGATGTTACTATAGAGACAAATCACAGCTTTGTAACTGCGAAAATGAACAGTCAGTTGCAGGGGGCAGAGTGAAATGTAAGAGGTTGTACCTGGTGAGTAGGGCCTGATCCAGAATGGGTGGGGCCTGGTATTCCAATGAGGTTGGTGTCCATACTTAACTGGGTGTTCATCTGTCATTACAACAGTTTTATATGGATTGTTTTAATTAACAATGAACATATCTTCATTTTAATATAAATAAAGTAATACTTTTATTTCATTGTTAAATTTTGGTTCAAAACAAAATGGTATATTCTTGAAAAGCCCAGCAGAAAACTTATCCCATCAGGATTTTTTTCTGCATGGTATCTAGGTACATACAGCCAAGTTAGCTCTCCCATTGGTTAGGACTTCAGGAGCTGAACTGGAGGCCTAAAGTGTTAGATTATCAATCATGTTTTGATTTCCAATGTGTGGGACTAATTTTGTGAGAAAAAAAATACATCACTCCAGGCCTTCTGGAAGTTCTAAATATATCACTGACTGTGAATCAGGGCAGTAGCCTGACCAATGCATTTCAGTCAGATGCCAGAAAGCTCTATGCTAAGGCTCTGAAGGAGTCACTGTAAAGCTGCCACAAGGTAAAACATATATTAATATGTCTTGTACGAGGCTCATGTAAAACATAGACTGTATTTTACACAACTGATGTCCATGCTTATTCTTGAATGGCCAAAAAATTAACATGTGAATTTTAGCTTAGCGCTAACGTACCAGCAGGATCTCATGGGGTGCTAGCAGAAATTAGCATTATCATAGAGCTGCCTTTTCCTCATTTTGACATGTTTGGCTGATACTGTGTCATTAAAATATAAAGCCTAATTGATTGACTAGCTATTTTGCTTTGTAGCTGTTGATAGCTCCCAACAGGCTCAGTTCCAGCTCAAATAAACAAACATTGCTCACCACTGCCCTTTAAACATATTATAACCCTAGTCAGAATTTTTATTGTAGTTGTAAGACCCATGATGTGTCTCAATAAAAGCATTTGCTGTTTTACTTACATGCATGCATTGCACTCAACCATGATGATAACACACCCAGCTGACATTCTGTTTGTTGTTAGCATATGATTGTGAATGCTAAAACTGTGAAGCATAATTGCATTCCCCACAAATAACTGTGATCAGTTGATTATGTTATGATCGTGGCAGGCCTAAATGTGTGTTAATGTCTGACTGTACTCACATGCATAGTAGATGTCCCTTGCATAGCACAGGCTGCAGGAAGCCTCTGTTGGCTGTGCAGACAGCTGGGTGCTGACCTTGAGTAGGTAAGAAAGACACAAGAGCACATTATGAAAACAGAAAGATACAAACATATGTGCATACAGTGAAAAAAGGAATGCATTGAATTTACATGTTTCAAAGGAGTGTAGCAACCCACATTTCAATCTACCTAGTAAGCAGTGACCAGGGACAGTTGCAGAGATGAGAGGTAGGTTTTGGTTAAATTGTAAAATTGTGTTGTTTCATATAGAAGTGTGTCCTTGCTTGAAATATGTGTGCTGATCTGTAAAACCCATTGGATGCTGTGACTTCTATTGTGCAGAAAAGCAAAAAATGTCAAAGAAATACTGCTAGACATTTGAGTGATTTCAGTTGTGTGAACATGCACAATTACCAGCATCAACAAAATGAAATAACCAATTAATTATTATTTTATAACTTTATAACTTTCTAAAACATTTTAACTTTAGAAACAAGGAGCTGTACTTAAGTGCATGTGCATACAGTGAAAAAATAATGTGCTGCATTTACACAATTCAAATATGTCCATCATTTCCAAACAAATAAAATATATTACATCAACACAATTAATGCCAAAAGTGAGTAAAATGAAAGACAAATTGTGTTGATATAATATTTTATACATGTGGAAATTATTTTGATTTGAATCAATTTGATGCTTTTTTATCAGTGTATGTGCGCATGTACTGACACTCACTGTGTGTTGGCAGTGCTGTGGGTTGGTGGTCGTGCCATGGAGCAGTGAGATGTAGACTGAGAGGTGTGTGTGTGAAGATGGCTGTCATGGAGCTGGGCCAGGGAGCACTGCTGCTGCTGGGGCTGGAACTGATGATGTTGCCGCTGGCTCTCATCATGAGGCTGGCTCGAAACAGATGAACGCTGCACTGCAAAGTTCTAGAAGGAAGATAAAAAAGAGACTTGATGCTTTCCACATCATCACTGTGTGCTCAGCTCTTCTGCTCCCCTGTGTTTTCCCCACGTCCTTTTGCTCATTTACATTTAAGTGCATAGGCATCATTTACATGTCTTTACCACGCTTTCAAAGTGTGAAGGGCACAAAATGTGGCATTTAAAAAGTTGGAGGGTACAAAATGGAGACGCATATACATACAAAAATGTAAAATATATTTATCAAATAGGTAGGTTAACACTGGTTAGAGCTATTTTTCTTTAGATGTTTAAGCCAGAGCTTCAAATGTTTTATCATGTAATCAGTGCTGTTGCTATAGTTTTTGAACTGATGTTATAGGCAATGTACTGGATGATGTGGAGTAAAGTAGGCTACATGGGGCATGGACATCTGGCAAAAATATGAGTGGAATATCTGGACATTATATGATATAGTTGTATGGTTATGATCTAAATATTATTTTTGTGGGAGATCCACTTTAAGCTGAGGCCCATTCAGTCTCACATTGAGTTCATCTCTGAGGAATGAAAATACAGTGCAAAATGCATTGCATAACATTTACAGTCTGTTGCTCATTGTTTCATAGGGAACTTCCTTTTTTTGTTTGTTTGTTTCTGCTCTGTCTTAGTCCCCAGGTTAACACCCAGCTTAACCCCTGCTTAAATGCATTCAATCAGCAGACAATCTTATCCAGAAAGCCTTCCATAACAGCTAGGCAGATGGCACTGTGACATAGAGTACATAGAGATATTGTAAGGACCCATAGTCTAATGACAAGATCTTTTTCCCAACTTGATCAAGTGCAAGGGGAACATGAGCATTATAATTTAATCAGTAAGATGGACATAGGTTGTGGGAAGAACAGTAACTACAGAGGCTACTAACTACTAATTAAATATATTTAGGCAAAAACTAAATATATTTGGCCAATAATCAAATGGTTTGGGGACCATGGACGTAATCCAGTGTGAGGAAAATTTAAATGTCTAGAAATCACACAAACGTTTACAGAATATATCAGTGTTTAATAAGTGTCTAAACATATTTCACATATTGGCTTCTGTTTCATGGCTTCACAGAATCTGATAGCATGATAGTAATGGCGAATAGCTATTACATGTAAGCATGAAGCTAATTTTAGTTAGAGCTGCACAGCCCAAAATCTCAATCACAGGCTTCTGTCTTTTTCTTTTATTTTCTTTTTAGTTATTGAGAACTGAGAGGTGCATTTAAAAGCAGAAATCAGATTTGTTTGCTTCTACCTCATTATACTGATTGTATGAGGCCAGACTTATAAAGGCTATAAAGTCACTTACATCCTAGTGTTTGCAGATGCTAACTGTCATTGGTTCACTATGGCCTTGTTCTTGCCCATCAGAGCCAACTACAGTACGCCAGGGAAAACAGTACGTTTAAAAGTCAAATAATATCCAGATTAGCAATTATTATTTTATTTTATGTACATAACAATGTCATATGTCACATAAGTATGATGTTAATGCCCTAAACTGTAAGGGCCTGTATGTGGGCCTACACTTCAGTCTCTCCCTACACAACTTACATACAAGTGTCAAAATAATTAAGAAGTCGAGCCTGATGTACAGGTCTGTTTAGATGCATTTTTGTGACATGTTTTTAAGGCTTCTTTGTTTATGTATTTGCTTTTTGGAATCTTAAAAAAAAAAAAATATGCACAGTTTTGAATTGTTCAGTGTAGTTCAGTTTTACTGCTTGGCCTTTTAAAAACCTTGATTACTCTCTTCACCATCAAAATAATCATTGTATTACATGATCACAAATATCAGCTGCGACAGTCATAGTAGTTGCAAGAAGATTAAGATTAGTCACTAAATATTAAGTCTTAAGATTGACAACCACAAAAATAGAGTTTAATTAAGAGTTAGTAATGGGCATAGTGAGCTTAGCACAGAGAGGTATTTCTTTTCTCATTTTGCATGATTACAGGAAGTGTAAATTAATTTTAGAAGCATCTCAGCTTCACTGGAAGTAAATGGGGTTTCCCAATATGACCTACTCCCTATATAAATGCATTTCCTTTTTTGTTCTGTCTTTGTTTCTCTCTCTAGATTTTTTTGTGTTTTCTGAAAATGAGCATACTTGCCTGCTTAAAAGATATATCTGTGTGAAATGCAAGAATGCAAGGATCCTGAATCTGATCCTATGGTTCTTATTACTGCCTTCAAGTTCAGCTTATCTTGAGCTGATCTAAACCTGTCATCTGTTTATCACACATACATAAACAAATGCACATACACATACATAAATGCACACACATACTCAAGTGCATACACACACACACACACACACACACACACAAACACAAACACATAAAGGAGACACATGCACAGAAACGCACACTCACATACAGAAATGCACACACACAAATGCCCATGTACATAAGGGGCACACACACAAACACACACACACGCACACACACACACACACACACACACACACACACACACACACACACACACACAAATGCACACACACAGATGCACACAAATGCATACACACACAAGGACACATAAATGCACACACGCAAACACATAAATGACACACATGGACACAAAAGCACACACACACAGGGATGCACATACACATGCACACACACAAATGCACAAAGACAAATGCACAAACACACACAGGGTATACACACATACATAGACACACTCACAAATTCACATACACACACACACACACAAAAGACACTCACTAATACACACACACACACACGTAAAGGGCACACACAGAAATGCACACACACACACACACAAACACTAATTAGCCAATGTTATATCACAGTAACATATGTAGTAGACTATTTAATCATAGAGCACTTACATAAGGGTATAACTTAAAGCTCCTCCCGAATATAAATGTGTCCTTTTTAAAATTACCCGTCTAAAGAAGCTCATTATATTCTGTTTAGAATTTGTTCTGTTCTGGATTTTTATAAATTATTGTATATGTTTGAACGAAGTGTTACATTTTGCAAAAGATCTGAGGTGTTCTGCTGCTTGTGTGTGTGGCTGTGTGAACTGTGTGTAGTGTTTGGACAAAATTAGCCCTGTTATCAAAATCATGCTCAAGCGATAATAAAAAACTGTAAGATTAATAACGGAGTGATATGTCTACGGTTCTAGGAGTCCATGCTGTGTTGTTGTTGCTCACCTGCCTGGCGTCTTCCTCTTCGTCTTCTGTCACCTGATCGAGCTCCAGGTCACTGAAGAGTCCCACCTCCTCACAGTTTCTCAGAAAGCGTGTTGGAGTCGGAGTCTGATCTGCAAATTAGCACAAAATACAAAAGTACAGCAGATACAGATGATTAAACTACAGAGACAATACAAACAATACAGGTAATAATACGAATAGCAGAATTTAAATGTATAAATTCAGCACAATATAGTCTGATCTTTTAAACTACAGGCTCATTATCTAAATATTAATTTTAAATCAGCAACTATAAATTAAGTAGTAACTTTTATCAAACTAATATGTAATTTAGGCTGTTTTAAACCCCTTGAACTGCTGGCTTATTATTCAGTTATCATCTAATACTTATTCCCAAAACTACAATGAGACTTATACATGTGGGTCTGAGAGTTTAATGGGTAAGGCAAATATGAAATTGTACATTCATAATACATTATTTCATTGTTGTGGGTTAATGAATAGTGGTAGTATTGCTAGTAATATGAGCTGAATCATCAACCAGTACAACAATATTTTCCTTTCTGGGTTTGTAATACAAGCCAGTGCATATGTGTGTGTGTGTGTGTGTGTGTGTGTGTGTGTGATGGGGGTGATGTGACGGATCATGCTTGCCATCTCCTTTAATTTAGGATTCAGACAGTGTCTGTTACCCTGGAAACCCTGTGTCTGACATATGTAAACATCAGCTTGACCCCTGGCCTCTGAGGCCTGTAAGCCTTCACCACAGTGACAGGAACATTTACATAAAAAACAAAAGGGAAGTTTCACTTCTGACCTCCTGAACCCACCGCTGTCACTGATAGCCTACAGAAACTGTCTAGTTTAGTCTAAGGCAAAATTGGTAAAACAATAAAAGATACTGTGTCTACAACACTGAGAAGGTCAGGAAAACATAAAACAGGATTTCATGAGACAAACCCTTCATTTTCATATTTTTAAAGCTGTTTTAATGTCAGTTCTACCCTAAGCATCCATCTATATCCTCTAAAGATTAATGATGTGTAATAATCTTAACACCTTACTTATCAACTCCTGTCTCATGGATTTAGTAGCTTGCTAATGAGTCTCGCAGAATCTTGCAATTCGACAAATGTAAAATTCATCTGTAAAAGATTAGGCTACATGATGCTGATAATTCCTGTAGCCCTGTCTTGAGTCCACTAGATCCGCTTAGCTTTAGCCATAGTCCTATACTACCTGAATTTGTGGGCCTATCTCTCTCTGGCTGTGTTTGGATATGAACAGAGGGGAACCCTCAGAGCCTTCTAGACCTTCAGAGATGGGTTAATGGTTTCTAGGAACTAAAAAAATAAATGTTAATTTTTATTCAATAGAATCATGCTTGTATTTAAAGTCTTCAAGTATTACAATACTACTCTTCATTATTACTACTACTACTATACTACTATACTACTATTCATTATTAAGCATAGAATTGAAACAAGAGTTTTACATTCTTGAAATGTCAAGCAGAAAATTGACCAATCAGGAATTGTTTTCTCTGTGGTGTCTAGGTATATAAAGGTAATCAAGCTCTCATATTGGTTAGAACTTCAAGAGCTGAAGAGAAGCCCTAACATGTTAGATTAACTATCAGCATAATTAAGAAATGACAGATGACTCAACCAATCATGTTGGTGATTTGATTTCCAATAGGCAGGGTCACTCTAGACCTTCTGGAAGTTTTAGATACATCACTGACTGAATGTAAGCGAGTTTTTAGAAATGGAAAACAGCAGCGGCAGCTTTATACCAGGCCTCTCTACTGAAAAAGTTACTGTGAAAATGTTACAAGGTGAAATATATGTTAATATGTCTGTAACAAACTTCAAGTAAAACATGGAATGACATTTAGAAGCTTCAAATGTCTGTGTTTAATCTAGAATGGCCTTTTTCAGATTTTCTGTCCCACCCTAAATGGTGTCCCACCCTAATCGCCTCATGATCAGGTTTTGCCCAAATTGAAGGTCTAGCTCTAATAGTCATGGATCGCTGCTGGACAACAGTCTTACCTGACAGTGTGTTCTCACACTTGATGGAGGGAAACTTGAGGGTCATCTCATGTTTGTGTCTGTGAATGATTAAGTGATCTTCTCTTTGGAAACTCTACAAAGGAGTATGAATAGATGGACAGTGTCAGTGATCAGTATTTATGCTACAAACCAAATATTGTTTGTGTTGTAATTTCACTACAAACATGTAGTGTTACGTTTTTCAGAGTTAATTATTGTTTCTTAACTTTGTATTAAAAGGCGCACATAATTTTTCTTGTATTTTATTTCATTCCCTGATGTCCTCTTATGATGTCGGTTCATTTTTATATGACCATCTTCAAACCTCTCTTTATCCTTTGGACTTAAACAGGCTGTTTTTGTTACCTTTACAACTGATTTGTGTAAATGAGCTCTGTTCTGATTGGTTGCCTGCATTGTGTATCTCATTCAAAAAGCACTCAGGCTGGAACACTCCTTAAAACGTCAGTGTGAATGGGCAGAGCTAAACTGCTCCAGGCAGAATGAGTGGCTATATCTAAATGTGTTTGATTTCATGACATCACAGAAGCAATGAATTCACAATGGGTTGTTTTGGCAACATAGTTTCCATACTGGGACTGTAAAGACTGGGGAGTGAACAGTATGCTTTAAAATTTTGACAGTGTTCACCTACCGCATCAAACTCTTTTTTTTTTTTTTCAAAAAAGCAAAATTTAGTTTTCCATGATATGGGCTCTTTAATATTCTTTTAATATTCAATAACAATTTCAGTCAATTTTAATTGTGACCTATAAATCTGGTTAAGATAATTATTCGTAGCCAACATTAACTCAAATAGAGCTAGAAAGAGCACACAGATTTTTTGCAAAACTTTAATAATATAGGAGAGATCAACATGCTAAAGGGGTCTCTGTTCTGTGTGATTCACATCACATTCACAGGTATTGTGTTCAGTTGGTCAGACAGTTTGATGAGAAGCCAAGTAGAGTTTTATTTCCATGACTCTTTAGAACTGGATTTTAGTGTTACTTCATTCTTATTCTTTCTAGTGTCACAACATCACATACTGTGGCAGTGACAGCAAAAGACTTGAAACTCTTATATATTTTTAAGCATTTTTAAGTGAATGTACACACATCATTGTTGTTTCTTAGTGTATGTATACCTGTATATCATAAAGTCTACACCTCTGGTTTTAGCTGCTCTTTTGCCACTACATATGTTCAGCTGTAGCCTAGGGTAACAGTAACCAAGGGCCGGCAGAGGTATCTAGGAGCAACCACAGGTATCCATGGGTGACCAGGTGCGACTCACCTGAGTGCATCCGGGAGCAGTGCATACATACGGCCTGTCCTGATCAACATTCATCACTGGGAACCTGAAAAGCCTACATACATACACACAAACACACACACACACAGAAGGATGTTGAAATCCTCTCAGTGATCGGTGAACAGAGTGTAAGTCAAAGAAAAGAAGATGGAATTTAACCCTATAAACTGTAAAGACTTCCCAGATGGTCCTCACTCTTGGTAATTACACATTAGTTACAGAATAGTTACTGAATAATAACGTAGAGTTGTTTGGGAGGTTAAGGATAGCTCTTCGACTGTAACGCTCTCTGAAGGCCCTGAGGGTGAGCTGAGTCTGCTGGAGCAGATGTAACGGTCGAGGGCTTTTCTGGAGCACAGAGTGTAAGTGATCTTTGTGGCGGGGCGGTCACCACTGCAGAGTCTGTTACGTGAGCTAACTATCAGCCAACTATCATCAGCAGACATCAACTGACCAGACCAGACCTCTGTATGACCTCAAATACTGAATGGTGTCAGGCTGATGGCCACAGCACCATTTATATTACAGAGTTGATTCACATTTTAACCCCATAAACAGGTTATTATTCTAAAGACTTATTATTCAGTAACGTCTATGAATTATTCAGTAACCAATCATTATGAAGCTACTATGTAAGGTATGCAGCTCTGAGTGTGAAGGCAAGTGCCTTGTCATAGGCCTTGGCCACATTGTTCTGTCATGTTTTAATCCTAACTCTAAAGCCAAATTCTTCTATAGGAAAACTCATGACCAGCATTGTAAATGGCACAAATCTCAATCTTTGATTTTCTGTCCAAGTACAAATATGGCTTTTAACGTGTTCCTGTATTGGTTCAACACTAATCTAGAAGCACAGAAAGCAGAGTTTAAATCTTGCTAACTCACTCGGGCTGAGTATTTCCCACAGCATACCTACAGTTAAACAATTAACAAATACAGCTTATCAAATACATATACAATTAAACAAATAAACAAATACAGTTAAACAGTTAAACGATGTTCAAAGAAGGCTTAAGAAGCTGTGTGTTATCATATTAGAAACCTCTCTCTGTCTTTCTCAGACAGCTCTCTATATTTGGCTGAAGTTTCTCCTGCTGAAATCATTACCGCAGCAGACTGATTCCTGTACCACCCTCTGTCTGTCTGTCTGTCTGTCTGTCTCTCTTTCTCGCTCTCTCTCTCTGCACATTTTTATATAAATGTTGATAATCATGACTTTAACTAAGCAAAAATACAGCTGAATCAATTAACGTGTAATTTCAGTATTATTCCCCAATTTCTCGACAATTAATTTGCTGAGATGTAAACACAATCACTTCGTATTTTGATGTGAAATGTTTCACTTTAGAGAAACTTATAAACTTACGGACTCTACGGAGTACTTCTTTACAGTGGCAATGATAGGAATCAGGGGTCGCAATGTCTACAACACAAATATAACCATTTTATTTACTATCTACCTAAGTTTGAATGTTGATAATAGTAAAATAATTCTAAATCTGAAAAAATATTATTTTCTCTGGGGACTATTTTGCCTTACAGGGACCTGCATGTACCCCTCTGCCATAAATGGGGTTTGAAAATAATACATTTTAGGTCAAAACCTTGTTGCAAAACTATCGTGAAGCAATGTCTCAGGCACCAGACGAACATAGATGTATTATACATACTTCCTGTAAGGTAGGTTTTAGAGGCATTAAACACGTCAGATGTCTGGTTCCTTTCAAAACACCACTGTGGTGATAGTTTCTCTAGAAACCACTCTGCACATGGTTCCTTATGGGTTCTTTAGTAAAGGCAATGGATCTATTTAAAACTGTAAGTTTTATATAGAAACAGTCCATGCTTAAAAGGCTCTGTGCATGGTGAAATGGTTCTTCAGATAGCTAGAGAATGTGTTGTATATATGATTCTATATAGAACCTTTTTGAATGGTTGAATGGGAATGTCAAGCTTGTAACAATAGAACCATGGCGCTATGTAGAACCAAAATCCATTTCACCATGCAAACAGCTATTTAAGCACGAAATAAGTCTAAATAGAAATCACGGTTCTAGATAAAACGATTTCCTTTACTGAAGAACCCTTGAGAAAACATCTTTTTAAAGTGTGTGTCTGACTTCTGTTTACATCTTAAGAAACTGTAAGAAATCGCTGGAAGATTTATCAAGTCAGCACTTTTTTTTCACACGCCGTCGACTCGGACATGACGTCACCGCTGAGATCATCTAAGGTAACGCACAGACTGAGGTCTCGAGCTGCTTTGATGCGCCCGTTTGTCGGCGTGACTGGGGCGACAACAAACAAACGAACCGGGCAACCTGCAGCATGACGTCATGCTCACAGTTCGCGCGCCGGTCCCGTTAACTTCTGCTCAGTCGAGCGCCTCTGCTGAGACTGCGTGAGGTGAAGGCGGCAGGAGAGCAGCTGAACTGGACTGAAGAAGCAGCTCGTGCTCAGCTGAGGTACTTATTGTTCAGCTGATTTGATCGACATATTTTAATTCATCCGAGTAGAAGAGCGGATGACACACACACACAAACACAAAACACTCTCTCTCTGTCTCTCTTTCAGACACACACTTGAACTCGCCCTCGATGTCTCCTTAACAGACTAGCAAACACACACACACGCACAATGACAGCTTTCTCCACACACAGTCCGCTCCGCAAACTTCAACCTGTCCGTGCCCCCGTCTCCGCTGTCACACTCCCCTTCACACAGCCCCTCCGAACTCCTGACACACACACACACTCCTTAACCGTCCGAAACACAACACACTCACACACCTCCCCGCTGCGTGTCACAGTCTCCTCAGAAACAGCACAAAACTCGAGCTGAAAACGAACTAAAAGTCAAACTCACCGAAGCGCGCGCTCAACGCCACCAGCGAGGCTGCTCTTGCGCGCCGGACTGAAGCGCGATTACAATATGAGCTATTTACAGCAGCATTACATCACCGCGCCGTGACGTCACGTGGGATTCCTGAACTTCTAAATCATTGCGGTCCGGTTCTCTTTCTTTTTTTCTGATGAAGAGGTAGGAGGGGGAGGCTTGGTCACGCCCCCTGAAAGAACGGCGCCCTGTGATTGGACCACCGAGAGAGAAGGCGAGGGGAGCGCAGAGGGGGCGGGGGCGGGGGCGTGGTTTAAAACAGCTGCCTGCAAGTGTGCGCGGGACGGTCCGGCGTGTGTTTGTTTGTGTGTTTGCGTGCGTGTGTGTGTGTGTGTGTGTATGTGTGTTTTTGTGGGTGTGTAGCTCTTTTTGGGGACCAAATGTACCCACGATGAAGGAATTTACGAACATTTCTGACGTTATAGGTACATTTGGCTGGAACTCATGAGGGAATTATTTTTCATGTTTTTTTAACATGTGAAAATAAACAAATAACAATTTTTTGCCATATTCTTTTGCAGTTACATTTTTTATGTTGTATTGACGCCACACACCCTGTCTACTCTCAGGCTTTTTATGTTATTTTGTATTTTAAAACGTTCTGAAAAAGAACAAATGTGCCTTTCCTTTGTTAAAATGTATTTAAGGTACACATTTGGATCTTAAGACAATTGTTGTACCTCTGAGGGTAAATTTACACTGTTCTAACTTTTATGAACAAAATTTACCTACATAGTACCTTTCTCTGACAGTGTAGTAATTTAGAAATCAGCGGAAACACCCCACAAAGATAGTAATACAAAGCTGGGCATATGTCAGTATGTGAGCATGTCAGTTCATGCCTCCAAAAAATGAGTTGATTGGGTTTTGTTACAGATGACATTTTGTTACAGGTGTGTAACCTGACTACTAGAGCCAGAGAGTCTGAAATGGGTAAATAATAAACACTGTGAGGCTGAACAGTACAGATGACTGTGCGTAGGCCTTGGCTGTATGAAAGGAGCTGAGCATACACACTGACAGACATCATACCACTAACAGGGCACAGGCTGCCTGAACGTAAATAAATAATGTAAAGCGAGACTGCGGTATGATGTAAGAGTTTGGTATTTTGTAGCCAGCTCCAGACTATACTGACTGAAAGTAATAGGAGGCAGCTCAGGTCCAGTGCCAAAACAGCCCAGTGGTAAATATGAGCTGGACTTCTTTATTGAGGGTTTTGTTTCTGGAGTCACTGAAACAATAATGTGGCAGGTTGAAGACTATCATGATATCATGAAAGGAGATTGAATAAGCTGGTACCTAACACTTGTCCAGATGCACACATCCAGATGTTCTTTCCTTGTTCAGCAGCTGTAATAACATTTAAAACGATTTGTGCTGTGTTCTCTCGTGGGCTGCCTGGGGCCGTGTCCTCAGTGACTGACCATGGTCAGACTATTGAAGGAATTTTGGAGTGTGTGTGTGTGAGTGTGTGAGTGTCACTGCCCTGGTGATTCAGAACAGTGCAGCCCTTTTGTCGTTGGTGCCAGAGACGTAGAGAGAGAGAGAGAGAGTTGAGAAACAAGGGCATGAAGGGTGAAGACGAGCCAGTGACTCACGGTAAGTCTACTCTAATGTGCTAGTAGCTGTTTCCCCAGCAACCCCCCAAAACAGGAAGGTGTGATGATGTCATATCAAACCCGAGTCTTGGTCTCCGCCTACGTTTGGGAGTGTGAATCATTCACAAATACACTCACGCACTACAACACTTTCTGCAAGCCAAAGAGCACGCACCCATAGGCTGAGCATGACATCATCCCCACTTCTGCTCTGACTGACCTCACCTGATAAAGAAAGTGTGTCAAATCCTGTTAAACAAAGCTCAGTGAATGCCATGCTTAGTTCTTCACTGATAACAGCTGATGGCACCACAACCATGCTGAATAACTTCTAGCACTAAGACCAGAACTACAGTGGCCCCAAAACTATCTGGACACTGTAACCATATAACCATTGGTAAACCTGACTTAAGTTCTTTAGGTCACTTCATAAAGTGTTCCACAAAATGATACTTGTTTCAGAGAAAAACACCTTTAACACAACAATCTACTTGGATAATAAAAAACAAGAATCGACCCAGATAGGAATCAATAGAGTTTATGGCTCTAGTTCTTGTTTACTTTATACTTGTTTGAGAGACAACTGGAATCATCACAATAACCACGATTAACAACTTTCTTTTTGGTTATGCCACAGTAATAGTAAGTTGTAAGTGTTTGTTAGCTACCTTGCTTATTGGCTAACTTAACCTTTTGGCTACATTAAGTTGAAACAATATAACATACTGCACTGTTCTGCATGTGCACACTCACAAAGTAGAAAGAAGCTTAAATGTTTCTCTGTAAAAAATGAAAATATAGCAAAACGCTCATTCTGTTGAGCATAAATGCAACTAACTTCCTGACTAACATACCATCACTGTCCGAGAAAAAACAAATATCTGTAATTTTTTTTCATTTTTTTCATTTTTCAATATCATTTGAGCACAGAAGCTGTTCTTCACATTGTGTGAAAATATAAGGATGATTGGACCTACACATATTCTCTAAAATTGCTGACACTGATGGTAAATAATGTTTTTGCCCTGTTCCTCTAAAGTTACCATTTTATGCTTGCTTTTCTTTGGCTAGCAATGAAATGTCACCTCCCACACAACTACATTTATGTACTGTTGGTACCAGTCTTCAGCAGGTACCAAAATCTATAAAACCTCTGTACTGGACCAGAGAAAAGTGGCCAGAGGAAAATTACAGTTGCAATTTTATGATGCCAAAAGTCTCTGTGCTAATGCGAGACTCTTTGTGTGGAAAAAGCCTGAAGAAGAATTCCAACCAGAGTGGACTAACAGTACTGCAAAGCAAAAAGGTGAAAATGTCAAAGTCTGGGACTGTTTTTCTTACAATAGTGTCAGTGAGCTCGTGTTCACTTATGGGATAATGATCTCAGAAGTGTCCAAAGACATTTTAGATGCAAACTTGCAGAAACCTGCAAAGGAACTGCTCAAACGATCAATCCGAAACACACCAGTCACCTTTTGAAAGAATCCTTTATCAAAATGAAAACTACAGCCTGTTGAAAACAAATAAATGCCACTTGGCTTGACATTTTGTTTCCTAACACAATGAAGTGCACATATTTTTAAGTATGGCATTAATGTCCAAATACTTTGGACCACAGTATATGTATATGTCTACTGATGCCGCTTTTGAACTTTGAATGACTGAATGACTAAGTGTGTAGGGGTATGTGTATAGCCAGGGTGGTGCTGTTAGCAGTGTTTGGCTCTGCTTGAAGGTTTGTGTAATCTATTAAAGATTATACAGATAATCCAATAAGTGACCTACACTGCTCTTTAATCAACTGGTCTGGACTGGCATCATATCTTCTCACATCTGGCATCGGCTGCCTGGGTCTGTGCAGTGTGGGAGAGCAGATGGTTACGATTACTCCAGCTTTATGTAATGATGTTATAAAGTACGTCACAGACTCCACTTGCTTTTGCCGGGTGTGAGTGTGTGTAAGCATTCAACAAACAGGCACGTGTGTGTGTCTGTGTTTGTGAGCTCAGTCTGCTAAAATGTGAGACTCAGCGAAACTGAATGAGTTACTTCTTTAGCTGCTGTTACTTTCTCTGTGTTACTGTTATATATACATACATACACATGTATACATGGATCTCTCTATTTAAAACATATTTCAGACTTTTAACTGGCTTGGATTTTTGAGTAAAAAGCTTTTGCCTTTTACCTTACTTATGTTATAATGACTGAACACTCCATTTTGTCACTACTAACACAATCATAGCACTAAACTTTGCCAAATATTTCAGTAGTGACTGTTTCATTAGTGACTATTTTAGCTAATTTGGAGCACAACTAAATAATGCTAGCCAGTGCATGACTAGCAAACACAGCTTTGAACAGTTCTACACACACACAATCTAATTTTGTTTCATTAAAACATTGAACAATTGCTTAATTCCAAAACCTATGTGTTTCAGAAATGACAGTTCTTCATGTTATTCACTGATTTGAGACACAGTTACTTAAAAATGAGATCTAATTGCTCACCATGTGGCCATGAGGGGCAGGGATGCAGTCTCAATTCCTGCTCTATGATATGATAAATCTAAACAATTCAACTTCACTGTACAATAATTCAAAGAGATCTTTAAAAAAACATTGAAAAATTGTCAGTAATATTTTCACAAGTTGAAATTTAGGCATTAGGGTTTGGGACAGCCACATCCCAACAGAAAGTATGTTATAAATAATTAAGTTGATAATGTTCTTTCCTTCTCCTGTAAAATTACCATTCTGGAGATATAAGGTTTTTGACATAATTTGAAATCAGCTTCTTCCATTTACATTTAGTCAAAATGTCATGATGAATGGACCAACAGAAACAGTCTAAAAGGACTTGGAATACATAATAATACTTTAACTTCCATTAAAAGTTAGGAAAGGCCCTGTAAAGTCAGTTCTATCACCAGCTGCACTCATGGAAATAAATAAATAATAATATAAATAATACTGGACTTCTTTGAGGAGAGAGTGGAAATTGGTTAACACATTGACATATATTAGTTCACTACTTATTGTATTAATGTTATTTGTATTTATTCTAATATTAGTGTTTTTTGAAGTACTTACTGCCCAGAATAGTAACTTTTTCAATCTAAATATTTTCAGATGACTTTTGCACAGTACTATATGTGAGTGTGTTTTCATAGACTATTTGCCCAAAAGTTTGTGAACACCTGCTTATCCAATGTTTCTTCTGAACTCATTTATCTGAAAAGGCTTTATACTAGATGCTGGAACATTGCTGTGAGGTTTTGATAGCATTCAGCCACAAACGCATTAGTGAGGTCAGGTACGCATGATGGATGATTAGTTCTGAACTACAAACGTCACTCCAACTCATTCCAAAGGTACTGGATGTAGCACTCCTGGTGACTCCAGAAAATGCAGTTTCAATGCTCCACAGCCTAATGCTGGGGGGTTTTATACCCTTTTAGCTGACATTTGGCATTGGGCATAGTGACCTCAGGACTTAAAGCGCCCCATTTTATTGGCAGTGTTTGTGTAATTGGATTACTGTGTCAGCAAGGGGTACACCTCACAGTAGCTGAATACACTAATTAGAAGAGGATACTTTTGGAAAAACATTGAAAAACAGAACAGGACTAACCTACAAAGTCAGGAATGTACAAATTATCAATTAAAAAAAAAAATAGCTATATTTCAATTTTGCCTTTTAAAAGGGAAAAAGCATTTCTTTTTGGTAACTTAAGGTTTAACATTCTTATTACATATAAGCACTTACATACAAACATAAGACATGTATCCTTACATTATACCAAGCAAACCTGTCAGTGTGAGCGTGAGAGGCTAGATGACAGTAGCTTTAGTCTTGAGGATGCTTCTTGAAGGCCTTCATAATCATGAGCTTCATGGTTAATTAACAGTCGGTGGTGGGTACACACTCTTGTACTCACATAGGACATAAGGCATTTCTTTGTCTCCTGGATCATCAGCACAGATCAAACAGCCACAAATGGCTGCAGAACACTCTTTACACTACACTGCACTGACTGCCTTAATCTGGACTGGACCGGTTTGGACCGCAACAGAGTCTGCAATGGCCTGAATGTTCAATTTCTAGAGGCAGTAAATGAATTATAACTCACTAATAACCAGAGGATCCTGAATGCACAATCAAGTAAAATAGTTACATCAATATGGATTCAGTAAGAAGCTAAGACCCTCCCTAATATTGTCTTTATTCTAGTTTACTAGCTAGCCAAATAACTAGCTTCCATGTATGTTAGAGTTTTGTCTTTATTTTCATCAGTTAGCAAAATTCTAGCTACTTAATTCCAGTCAACTAGCTTTTGGACAGCAATTGTGAATGTGTTGTCTTTTTACTAATAGTGGCCAAAGCAGCACAAAAGTAGCTTATCTACAAATGAGAGGGTGAGCAACCATATAGCTAGGAACCCAGGGGCTAGCAAGCAAGATAAGTTTACTAGTTACTGTTAGCTTACAGACAATGTTAAGCAACACAAGTGACATAAACTACAACTAAAGTCAAGTAGCATGCAAATAAATTATGAATAAATATATGAATATGTAATGAAATTTTGACAATGTCATTGCCTGCTGTATAGGTATTGTATTACATACTGAAAATGTATTGTAGTGTTCAGTATTAAAACTACTTTGTATATCTAATATTTAAGACCCCTCCCTCCAACCTTTAATCTTTACTGACTTTGGTGCAGTTAAAATCTTAAAACAGATTAGACCCCACCCTTATAAGGTTATCCCCTGACTTGCCTCACAAATGTACTGGAGCATAAGTGAAAACATTATCAAAATACTCAGAGAAGTACAAAATCCATCCAAATGTTATGTAAGTACATACAACTCGGTAAGCGTAATGAATTGACCTGTGGAAAAAACAAAGCAGTTGTTGTTAGCACCTAGAACATGTTTTACGCAGCATGTTATAAAACAGACAGGAAGGAATCACTGGAAAATCTGTATCTAGCACATTCAGTTCATCTGGACAGAAGTTATGGTTCAACTGTGATAGTTTTCTGTAGGCTTACTTCTGCAAAGAGCCTGCGCCATTGTCATCTCAATGAGGTGTTAAATGGATCAATGAAAAGATAGTGACCTCATGCTGTGCTTTTCCCCTTTTGAACTGGATGGTGGAGGCAGATGTCTAGGCCTTGTCTGGGCTGTGATCTGTGAACATTACCTGGCCGTTGATGTAAGTGTTCCTACTGACGCCCCACTGTCTCTGCTGTACTGAAACTGGAGCAAATAAAATATCTCTTCAGTTTTATGTGCCAAAACATCTAAGCTAATCTTCACAGGCCTTATTAAAAAGTTCTTTTTGTGATTAAAAGACTTATCGAGTGTTTGAGAATATATACTCGTATTTGGCCTAGTTTGACAAAATTCTTCTAAATACATGTCGAGAAGTTACCCAAACGTTAACAAGCCAATCTTTTCTCTTCACTCTATTTGTCAGATGCACATACAAATTTTATTATATTCACAGGAGTTCTCCTTGCCTATGTCTATAGCCAACTCCATAAACTCCGACCCTTGTCTAAACTACAATATCCAAATCTACAGATAAAAAACACACAAATCCTGTAAAATGTACATCACTTTTCTTCACATTGTACACGTTTTCTGCACCAGTCATAGTCCTTGAAGTAAAGGGACATTATGCTACATGTTAAATCGTGCTACACAGGTGACCGGCTTACCCTGTCGAGCCGCTCGGTCCCTCCTCCTCCCCTCCTCCTTTCCTCCTCCTCCTCCTCCTCCTCTCCTCCTCCCGCTGCTCCAGCTGCTCCGGGCCGCCGGCTCTGCTCGCCCCTCCCGCTCTCCTTTCCTCCGCTCCTGCCTGCCAGCTCCCCTCCACTCGGCCCCCACCATGACGGGCGTCGCGGCGGCCTCCTTCTTCTCCAACGCGTGTCGCTTCGGCGGCTGCGGGCTGCACTTCGAGTCCCTAGCCGAGCTCATCGTGCACATCGAGGACAACCACATCGGTGAGCCGCCGCCGCGTTCAGCCTTTAGCCGGCGCGCTAGCTAGCGGAGGTTTGGTTTGGGGTTTGGGAGGGGGGAGAGGAAGGCTAAAGCGTTTCCGTTTCGCTCTGTTGGCGAGGTGGGGCGATCTGAAACCTCGGACACGAACACACCGCTACACAGACCGGCTGTACTGAGAAACACTTTCTCCCAGATTGAGCTTCGGCTCCGGCCTGAGTGTGTGCAGGTTCGCCGGCGCTGCAGGCCTGCGCTGTGATTATTAGCTCTCGCCTCACAGCTTTGTTTAGTCTAGCCCTGTGTGTGTGAGAGTGTGTGTGTGTGAGTGTGTATTGGAGGTGCGTGTCGCCAGCGTTCATAACAGACTCTCACATTCACAGTGTGTCAGTCCCTGGAGGAAGATTAAGCAGTATATTCGTCTGTAGCTGAGTTCTTTTTGAACGAGGTTTACAGGTTTATATGCTGCTTTTGATGGAGACTGAGGTTATCTAGGCTTAGTACTTCTGGCAAAACTCAAATAGACAGAAACCAGCTGTGCTGCTGCAGGATTTCTGACAGCTATCGTTGCATTATATGTTCTCAGTAACTTACCCTGTTACCAGAGCTAATATGAAGTTACAGCGATATCATGTATTAAATTGAATATAATAATGTGCTTTTGAAATGTTTTTTGTGCAAATTACTGCAGCTGTGCAAATTTGTTCTGCTTTGATTTAGTTATGCTTATATATATATATATATATATATATATATAGATATATAGATATATATATATATATATATATATATGCAAAATTTTGGGTCCCCTGGTCACACTTCTGCATAATTTCTGTTTACTTGCTGAATTTAATATATTTGGAAAAAATAAAACATGAAATAAGCCTGTGCAAAAATGATGGCACATTTTGTATTTTACATTTAAGTTTTTCCAATATGTTAAAGCAAATAAATAGAAAATTTGGACTAACATTAGAAAAAACATACCAGTTAGGGGATGAACTTATTTTTACTTAGAGGACCAATTGCATGCAAATTGACTAAAGGTGTTCAAACGTTTGCAGTATGAGTGTATATGTGGCTCTGTGCAAACATTCTTGCATTCCTGCATTTATCAGAGTATCAAAGTACTAATGTATATGCTAGTAACAACCATGTAGTTGTGTATAGTTTGTAAATATGTGTGTGTCAGCAGTGCAGCTCTATGTTGTATGTCATCTTGAGGGGAAGGATTGCTGTTTCCATGGCAACTGACTGTCACACAGAGGTGATGAAAGGCTGTGATTGGTTGGATTGTGTAAACCTGGGCAGAAGGTGCCTGTTTTACAATGGAACCCTGCTGCCACTATCGTAACACTGGCACATGAAAAAGAGAAGAAGACAAAATGATCTCAGGTCTTTGTTAAGTTTCAGCTAGACTGTAGCCTGTTTTGCATGTCTGTCACCTTTGACATTTTGTGCATCAGCTGCTCTGATTTCCTCAGGGGGCCACAGATTGGACCTTTAGGGTCAGGAAGCTGACCTCTGGGCATCAAACACAATGCCCTGTGTCTTCGTGGATCAATAATACCCTGTCGATATTTAGGCAGTAATAGAAGTAGTAATTACATTGTAGAAATTGCAGTTTATTACAAACTCAGAAATTGAAATGTAAGATTCTTGTCTCTTGTTTTCTTCTAAAAGCATAGCAAAAATGAGTACTGAAAGCTTTGAGAGGTGTTTGTTTTGGTCCACCAGGTGCAGTGATGTGTAACAGACTATGTGAGATTGTAGGCTGTGATTTGATTTGCAGCATTTAAAATATAACATAAAAGCTATTTTTTCTCCAAACTAAGTATATGTATATGACATTGCACTGGATAAGTATTAGTTATGCCAGTTGTAAACTTGAGCAGCCCATAGAGCAGGGCAATATGACAATATTTATTGTTATCGAGATAAATTACGTCACAGTATGCTTTTCTGAGAATATTGTGGATATCAGCACTTAAAACCACTTACCAACTGCTTGTTTGATTACAAAGAGAGCATAATTAGTCCTGTTTAACTGGATTTATTGCAGCATAATATGTAAACTGTTGAATACAAATAATTGAATTAATAATTTTTGATAGTATTTTTAGAATGTGGGCTTACTTTTTCTGTTCTAACTTATCAGATGTCACAAAAAATAAATATTATGGCGTATTATGTGTTATAATAAAAAAACTATAGGAATATGACATTTTGCCATGTTGCCCACATCCAGCAGAACACATAAGGTTTATTTTGCCTTTTTTTTGAAGAATTTCCCTCTTTGCTCTTTCCTGGATCAGCCCCATGCGAAACTCAGTGCAAGACCAAGTTTTAAACATGCATTTGTGATGACTTGAGGGCCAGGCCAGTTGAAGCTTTTGCAAGTTTCAGAAACCACTATGTGACCTATTTTAATTTCCTTACCCATAGTTTTTCCAAACATCTTAATCTTATCTCTGCTTTGTATTCAGAGTGAGTCATTAAGACATTTTAATAGCTGTTATTCTCTTCAAACAGAACTTTTTAGCAGTGTAGGACAGTTGCACATATGCACCTTGCTAAACTTGAAGCTTACTCAAAGCTGAAGCGACTCTGCCTCCTTGTGGCAAAGAGCTGGCTTTTGCCTCAGCTTGTGGACGCTGGTTAGCTGTAATGTCTGCCATTGACAATGCTTAACAGCATCATTTAATCAAAAGTTACTACATCAATTGCTTCTGCAGCAGGAAAATTGAACTTTGAGTGGCCTCTCTTTTAAGATGCAGAGGTATTAGTTATCTTAAACTGTTATGTTTATTATGCAGCACTTTTCAGTTCCTACATGTTTCTGGGCCTTAAGTTGTGTATTAGTAAGAGAAATGCATGCTCAGTAGGTTCAGCCTGGGTGAACATTCCACAGTTTGGCTTTGAAAAACTCTACAGTCACTTTAGTAAACTTCAGAATTCATCCTGCTCCTTCCAGCAGCACTCATCAATAAAGACGAGTGAATCTTTTCCTCTGACAGCCATATATGCCCATGGCACCATGTTTCATAAAGGAAGTGGATATGCTTAGGATCAGCAGTTCCTTCTTACTCCGCAGTTTTCTTATCCTGTTAGTCTGGTGAAGATTAATCTTTGTCTTGTCTGTCCAGAAGACTTTGTTCCAGAACTCTACTGGCTTTTTTTTAACCTTTACCTGGCCTTTCAGTTCTTGTTGCTTATCAGTGGATTGCATCTTGTAACCATGCTGGTGTGTTCTTCTCTTTATGGCAGGCTTTGTTAAATCTGTGCAAACATTGTGGATTAGGGGTGGGAAATACACCATATGGACAAAAGTATGTAAGCAGGACACCTACACATTACTCCTGCAGGAGCTTTCATGATATCATATTCTAAATCCATAGGTATTAGTATGGAGTTGGTCCCCTTTTGCAGCTATAACAGCTTCTACTCTTCTGGGAAGCTTTCTACAAGATTTTGGAGTGTGTCTGTGGGAATGTTTGCCCATTCATCAGGAAGAGCATTTGTGAGGTCAGACACTGATGTTGGATGAGAGAGCTTGGCTCACAATGTCTGTTCTAGTTCATCCCAAAGATGTTAGATGGGGTTGAAGTCAGGACTATGGGGGCCTGTCAAGTTCTTCTACAGCACTTCTAAGATTTCCCTTCACTGGAACTAAGGGTCCTAGTCCAACCCCTGAAAAACAACCCCATAGCATTATCCCTCCTTCACCAAACTTTACAGTTGCCACAATGAAGTCAGGCAGGTAATGTTCTCCTGGCATTTGCCAAACCCAGACTCGTCCTTCAGGCTGCCAGATAGAGAAGCATGATTCATCACTCCATAGAATACGTTTCCACTGCTCCATAGTCCAGTGGTGGTATGCTTTACACCACTCCATCTGACACTTGGCATTGTGCTTGGTGTAAGGCTTGCATACAGCCGTTCGGCCGTGGAAAACCTGCCATGAAGCTTCTGGTGCACAGTTTTTGTGCTGATGTTAATGCCAGAGGGGGTTTGAAACTCAGTTATGGAGTAAGCAGAGCATAAGGAACTTTTATGCACTATGCTCCTCAGCACTTGGCGACCCTGCTCTGTAACTTTACGTTGTCTGACACTTGGCTGAGTGCTGTGGTTCCTAAACGCTTCCACTTTTCAATAATACCACTCCTGCTTGTGGAATATCTACTAGGGAAGAAATTTTGCAAACTGACTTGTTGCAACAGTGGCATCCTATTACAGTACTTTAGAATGACCTATTCTTTCACAAATGTTTGTAAAGGCAGACGGCATGGCTAGGTGCTTGATTTTACGCAATGGGACTGAATGACACACTTGAGTCTAATTAGTTCTGTACAATTGGATTTGGTACAGTATGTAAATTGTAAAATAAATAGGACAGTATTGATCATTATTTTTATTGAGTCTGGTTTATTTACAGCCAAAATGGCCAATGGCTGATTTTTATTAGCCTTTTTCGTAATCTGAAGCTAAGGTAAATGAACATCTGAGTCACACTAGCACATTTTCAGTGCATTCAGTGCAAAAATTTCCATTTTAAATCAACAAGCAACAGCTTTCAAATACAGTGTGATTGCAGTTTAAGTTATTTACGACATAAAACGTGGATCTGAGAAAATAAAAACAATTAATTGTCAATTTTATATTTTAGTATATTATTTATATATTTTATTTTAAAGTATTTAAATGTGGTGCTACTCGTTCTTTTTTGTTATCAAACCTCAGAAAACGAAACTGTAGTAGTATTGTGATATTGTATATTTTATCATATTGCCCACCTCTATTCTGGAAAGTATTGTTTGGCCATCCAGTACTGTGGCCTCTCCTGGTCTGCAAAGTGTTCTGTGCTATTGCTAACATCGCCAGTGTATTCTTTGGTGCTTAACAATGTACTTTGACATTTGACACCAAGGGCCTGTTTCCCAGATCCAGATTAAGCCTAAACCTAGAGTAAATTGAATTTTCAGTAGTGATTCACCATTGGCACTACAAT